TTGGAGACGGCATCCTCCAGGTCCGACTCGGAACCCGAGCGCACGTCCACGTACGACGAGAGCGAGGCCACGAACTTGCCTTCGTCCTCCTTGCAGTGGCCGTTCCTGGCAGTGTACGGGTACGACGACTCGGACTCGATGCCGCCCTTGGCGCGGATGTACTTGAAGGCTGAATCCATGAGACCACCGTTGCAGCCCTGGTTACCGTAGTGCCCCGAGCAGTCGACCAGCTGCTGCTCGCTGAGCGAGGCCAGCTCGTTGCCGGCCATCTTCCAGGCGGCCTCCAGTGAGCCAGTGGTGGAGAAGGCCCAGCACGAACCGCACTGGCCCTGGTCCTTGATGGGTGTGACGACGCCCTGGTCGCGCCAGTCGACGGTGACGGCCACGGCCTTGCCAGTAAGCTGGTGAGTGGCGTGAGGACGGCTGCTCTGCGCCACGTAGCCCTTGTAAAGCGAACTGAACTCATCTGTGGTCAGATCGGCGAACTTGTTGAGCGCCACGGTGAAGGTGTGCTTGCCCTCGGCATACTCAGCCATGTGCTTGTCGACGAACTCCTTGTTGTCGGCGTACACCTTCATGCGGTGGAACTCCTCAATGATGTTGGAGTAGGTCTTACCGTGGGTGGACTTGAAGGCCTCCCACTCGGCACGCTCCACGAAAGCGGAGGCGGCCCCCACGAGGGCGACGATCAGGAGGAGCTTCATGACTGCTGCGGTCGCAGAGGAGGCAGATGCTTCACCGAACGCGCCGGCCCGTTTTATACGAAAACGTTATCAAGCGTAACAAAGGAAACGCACCCCAGCTGAGCGTTTTGTGGGAGAACACGCCCGAATCGCATTCAGCAGATGTTTTCGAATTCCCAAATACCCACGGGTGCGCGGGAACGAGAGAAGCAGCAGCGGAGGGCGTGTCAGTCAAACAAACACAGACATCGCCGCACACACGCGGAGCACGTACATGGAGGTCGCGACCCCAGCCTCCGTGCCGTCTGATAGCCGACGGTGGCGCGCTGTCGCGTAGCCCGACAGCTGCTCCCGGGCACAGACTCAGACGCAGCGGTTTGTTCTCCGCCACTCTGCTGGCGATGCCGGCCGGTCCCCAAATCCCAGCCGCTCAAAAGGGACGCCTTGGCATGGAGAATGGCGTGACAAGTCAGTGAAATATTAATGGAGCCGCTCATTCTCCACGCAGTCGGGATCAGTTATGATAGTTCGAATAAACGTTGCTGAAGTGATGGCGGTGCAGCAGCAGCAGTCATGTTATGTAACCCATCAAAACCAGTGAGCAATGAGCACATCGTTAGATGTCGTTTTGGGTTGCATATATATATGCAAAGCGATAGGCAGTACAAACTTGATGGCAAGGACAGCGGTCTCTATCATTTACGTAACTGTCAACGTTTTGATGCATTTCGTATCATCCAGACGAGGATACAAAGGCACAATGGCGAATTTCACATTCATGATTTCAATTTCACAAAACTTTCGCAGTACATTGCGTGTCTGGTATGACATGCTCCACGTGTAAATGGTACAACATGCACCGTCCGACATCTTAGAAGAAAGTTCGCACTACCACATAAGTCATGGCAGCCATGATATCTTTATTATTGACGGCAAGTCAGTCAATTATGTATAGTCAGGTCTTATGCTTTTTATGCGTCTTTATATGTTTTTTTCCAAGCTGTTCTGTTTGCGCGGGGAGAGGTCGAGTTTCATTAATTTAACTGTGGCCGATGCCATGCCTAGCGATGTCGGTTAGATATACTTTTATTTCATTGCATCCTTACCCCCTAGTCCTAATGATGATGCGCAATGTTTCGAAGCGTCGACAGTTACCTCAATGCAAGGGCCTGTTGCTCTTGCCGTCAAGTTTTGACTGCTTTTTGCTATTTGGGAACTCTTATTTCTGCTATGTGCTATATAATATTCTTCGGTATTCATCGTTTCGAATGCCTTTCAACCTATCCTTAAAAGCAATGCAATGGTCTTTGGTTCATGTCAGCAATTCACACACCTGAAATCATGACATACAATGCCAGCATGTTAACAACAAGCCTTCTATTAAATAGGCGCATTACCATTGTCTTCATACAGACCTCCGGCAATCATCCAACAATCCTGCAACAGTCCTACGGAACGCATCATTAACACTATGTGCCGTGACCTACAGCATGCACCATAACAGATTAAAGCTACTTTTCACTATATCAGCGTCAGCGTTAATTGCCGCTGTTGTTGAGATGTTGCTCCAAAAGAGATAAGTCAAAGGTTTGATTAATTTCCATGCTTAGTACTAGTGTATGGTCGTGATTGTGTAATGTTTTCATGATGCTTTGCGTCGTTTTCGTCGTTTTCATGATGCTTTCAATGCTTTCTTGCGTCGTGTGATGATGCCAGAAACTGAGCATTTTGTGCGAACATTTGGTGGGTGACACGGGTACCATGATCGTGTTGCATATGACCTTTTGATACCATCCGCCGTGAGATGCAAAATGAGCCGTCGCTATATATATATATATATATATATATATATATATATATATATATATATATATATATATATATATATATATATATATATATATGTATATATATATATATATCTCTCTCTCTCTC